AAATATGGTATAGTGGAATTTTTATACTTAGACGTACGTGCATAAAGTCTTCTGAAAAGACTTCTTGTTTTACCTGAGGAGACACAAGGTTGGAGCTGCGGGTAGAGTGGGTGCTCAGAGTCTGACAAAATTCCTCTAGCGAATCTGTTGCATGACATCAAATGCCTATCGGTGACAATGCCAACGATATGGCCCAATGGGATACCACCAGTCCTACTGACAGTCTTCAGAGTTCTACGAAGTATGACATAGTCCTTTTTTAGCAATCCAGGAAAGAATAATGGTGAACAGTGAAGAAGAATAGGTAAAATACACGAGTTGACAAACTGTAAGAGGAGTGTAAGAGGAGCTCTGAAAGCACCAATCGCCTCGGAAGAGCAGACTTTGTTGTATAAAGTACATGCATTCATGGAAATAAGGAATAAAATAGCTTAAAACTTTCACGCTGGAAACTTCTGTCTAGAGTGTGACAAAATATTTGCCAGTTTTCCACTGGAATGTCAACAGACTAACTAATCCACATCTTGTGTATGTATCACTTCTTTTAATCATAGGCCTGAATTCAATCTGCCCTACCTCAAAACATTCCCAAATCTAACTTGAACCAACTGTGATATCTTCCGTTTTAGGCTAACCTTGGGAATGAATGAACTTTGAAAAGGGAGTGAATTTTACACGCTCTTGTTTAGTTTTGGCTTTTGTTGTGTTATACGCTCCAAAAGTCTACAGATTAACTTTAAATCAGTTTATTCTGATCAAAGTTAGTTTACTTTTCAGATCTGAGTCTCTTTTGATTATAGGAAATTGTTTTATTTATAACATTATAGTTATATATATATTTTTGTGCACTCATTGATTTTATCGCTGATTTATAAAGGTCTATATACATCTAAGTTATATTTAAATTTCTTCGCCAGTCTGTTCTAGACAGTATGCCCATCAAAAAAAACCGCTGTGGAAGGGTTATGTGCCAATTCCCAGTGGATGAGGGAATGCAGTGTGATAACTGCGAGAGATGGTTTCACAGTATGTGCACAAACCTAACTCCTGCAGCATACAAACGCTGCTGTAAACCTCTAGAAAACTGGTTGTGCAATGACTGTTGTAGTACTACCAAACTCCGTATTACAGAAGCCATTGCCACTCTTAGCGGGGCTTTAAAGCTCATGGACTGCAAGGGTCTTCCATCACAGGAGAAGACTAACTACTTCTCAGACACCGAAGATGCGACTAGCGTCATCGACAGAACAGTACATGTTCCTAATGAGTCTTTGTCAATGACAGATTGCCCTTCAGCACAGAAGAGCACTCACCACATTCCAGTAACCCAGGCTGCCCCCACGATACTGGATAAGCCCTCCAGTGACAGTAACGAAAAGACTGCCACAAAGAAGAGGCGTACCAGGGGTCGTAAACCCGCAACTCAAGTCACCCAGGTACTAGTGGATCAAGCCTCGTCCACACCGGTGAGTATGAGGCAGATAAATCCTGCTACGATTAGTGAGGAGAACGCCAATGAATGGCGTAACGTAGTCTCTCGCAAAAAGCGAGATAAGGACAATACATTGGCCACAATGCCCACGAAGGATAGGAAGACATTCATGCCGCAGAGAAAGAAAACCACGGCAAGCAAACCTGATCTCTCTGGCAGGTCGCTCATTCTCCACAAAGTGGAAGAGTCATTGGCCCCCGAACCCAAGACTAGATTTGAGCATGACCTTAACTTGGTTAAGCCCCTTTTAGACAAGCTACTGCCACAAACAGTATCAGGCATCACTATACACAGTGTATATAGAATAGGCCAAAAGCCTGATCCTACAGTAAGTCAGCCTGTACGTCTCCTCAAAGTCGTACTAAACTCTAAAGAAGAGAGGGATGCTATTCTAAGCAACTCTCATATACTTAAAGGATCAGGCATATATGTCCGCGCCGACTTAAGCCTGGCAGACCGTGTCAAAAGACAGTCTGCGGCTCTAGAATTAAGCGAACGACGCCGAAACGGCGAAAAGAACCTTAAGATTAAGGGTTTTCGGGTTGTTCAAGTTCGCAGTTTAATGATCCCGAAACCTCTGCGGGTAGGCCGGGGAAGCACCAAATTGGATTAACAGTTTGCTACACAAACGCCCGCAGCCTGTTGAATAAACGGACTGAGCTGGTTAACATGAAAGACTCCGGAAACCCGGATGTAATTATTATCACAGAGACATGGCTCACACCCGATGTCACTGACAGCGAAGTTAACCTGCCAAACTTCGAAGTGCATATGGTGGACCGACTAAACCGCAAAGGAGGTGGCGTAGTCATTTACCTCAAGAAATGCTTAACCGTGCGTAGTATCGAAGCACTCGCTCACGAAAGTGAGTCGTGCGAACTTCTACGCTGCAGACTTAAATGCATAGGCCAAGACATTGACCTCATTGCTATGTACCGCAGTCCTAACTGCAGTGCGGATGACTTCCTGATAGAGAAGCTAGGCTCCTGGACCTCGAAATGTCGAAGTCTCGTAGTTGGCGACTTCAATGCCCCAACAGTTGACTGGACGAGCCTAACAACTCCATCCTCAGTCAACTCCTTTGATTATAAACTGCTGGAATCTAGTATATCGTTAGCTCTAGTCCAACATATCATCAAGCCCACGCGCTATGACTCACAGCACTCCTCCTCAACTCTGGACCTAGTGTTCTCCTATGGTGAGGATGTAGATCTCATACAACATCTTCCTCCTTTAGGAAGAAGTGACCATGCTGTGCTCACTTTCAAGTTCACAGCAACGGCAGCAAGGGCCAAAACCCCATCTCGACCAAACGTTTGGAAAGCTGATATAAATGCAATCGTCTCAGCAGCCAACTCAGTAAACTGGTACATCAACCCAGAGTCTCAAGTAGAAGCCGCATGGAACCAATTTAAACAACTTTACGCCCAAGTAACTGAACCTTTCATCCCTTGGTCTGTCCCAAAGGGTCGGAAACACTGCCATCCTTGGATAAACCGAGAGATTTGTAAGTTACTTAGACGTAAACACAAATGTTGCAACTTGTTTGCCACACTTGAGACTTTTGAGACCAGGCAATTATATAACACCGCTAGAAATAAAGCTATTGCAGAAATCCGCAAATCAAGGATGAAATTCGAAGCACACCTGGCTCAAAATGCAAAGGCACAACCTAAGAAAATTTTCTCGTAAATGAACTTCAGGAATAAAACATCCAATGGTGTCCCAAACCTGACTATTGACAATGATACAATCGAAGAAGATCAAGAAAAAGCAGAAGCAATGGCAAACTACTTCTCCCAACTTTTCACTCAGGAGTCGTCACTGCCTACAGGATCAGCTCTGGCTGCATCAGAAGAACATGGGATAGATTCCGTTGACATCGACCAAGGCATCGTGCTCAACTGCCTAAGGAAACTAGATGCAGGGAAATCAATGGGTCCTGATAATCTTCACCCAAGGCTTCTCAAGGAGTTATCAGCACACATAGCCGGCCCTTTGACTACGATCTTCAAGCTTTCTCTCCAAAATGGAGTGTTACCGCGTGACTGGAAAGACACCATAGTAACCCCCATCCACAAAGGAGGATCAAGACAAAGCCCTTCAAATTACAGGCCTATCAGTCTCACAAGCACTTTAATTAAGACACTGGAGAGAATCACCAAGAAAAGCATAATGGCATATCTAGAAAATAGAAGCTTATTATCAAGAGCACAGTATGGCTTCCGAAGGAACCCCTCATGCCTGTCAAATCTTCTCACTGCAAGAGAAAGCTGGGTTAAATCCAGGGACAACAGAAGACCCGTTGACGTCGTCTTCATAGACTTCAGCAAAGCCTTTGATGAAGTACCTCACAAAACACTACTAATGAAGTTAGAAAGTCTTGGTATCAAAGGCAGCTTACTAAACTGGCTCAGGGAATTCATCATAGATAGGAGGCAGAGGGTTAGGATCAACTCGAAACTCTCCTCTTGGACAGCAGTACGCAGCGGAGTGCCACAAGGCACGGTACTTGGACCTCTCCTATTTATTTTGTACATCAATGAGTTATCTCTGCTCACCGATTCCCCTATGGTCCATAACGCAGATGACTTTAAAATTTGGAGAGAGCTGAAGGGCAACAGTGACACGTCCACGTTGCAAGAGGACCTCAACAAATTGTCAGAGTGGTCCATAGAATGGATGCTCCCGATAAACGTGACAAAATGTGCAACCATGCGCATTGGACAAGCAAGCACGAGCTCTTATGAACTAGAGGGAATTACACTTCCATCAGTTCAGACTTACTTGGACTTAGGTGTCATAGTTAGCCACGACTTAAAAACTACAGCACACTGTCGCGCGGTGGCTGCACGTAGTTTCAGGTCATTATGGGCAATTCGTAGAGCCTTCACTAGAATCACCAGAGATATGTTCACCTCCTTATATACATCTCTGGTGAGGTCAAGACTGGAAAACTGCATCCAGGCCGCCAGCCCTTGTCTAAAAGGGGACTCACTTATTCTAGAAAGGGTTCAAAGGAAAGCAACACGTATGATTCATGGCATGACTAGCTTATCATACGAGGAAAGACTAGACAGTTTAAATCTCTTCTCCTTGTCATACCGTAGGCAGAGAGGAGATTTAATCGCAATGTTTAAAATTTTAAATAATGACTACGGACCTGACCTATTTTCTCTTTTCCTTCCCACCAGGTCGGAACATCTTAGAGGACATAGCAGGAGAGTTCAAAAGCCAAGAAGAAATCATATTGCTGTTGAGTACTGGTTCTCACACCGAGTCGTAAACTCTTGGAACCGACTCCCAGAAGAAGTGGTGTCTGCAACCTCAGTTGATTCGTTCAAGAAGGGTTTGGATAACCACAGAAATTTACTAGAAAAGGATTAACATAGGCTCCGAGCCTTCTATCCTCAACCAATAAATCTGAAGTCTGAAATCTGAATAAAATATGCCTAATGACTCGTTATGACATTAAACGGAATGTCCAGTAAGTTTAATTTAAGTTTGCGAAGGATTTAATTAAGTTTTATGGTCAGGACAGGTTAGTCTCAAGTGAACCTAATAAGAAGGATATAACAGTTGGTTCGAGTTAGGATGAGTCAAGTTTAGGCATAGTTTCGAAGCATTGGGTATTGAATTGTGTGTGTTCGGATTTCAACTGTGCCGTTACGTTGTGATGTGTGTATGTGAACAATTCAGTTGACGTAAGTGTGTTTACCAGATGGAAATAAACTAAAATCCACCTTTGGTTAGTGCTGTGATAAATTAACTGGAGTGCAATCACTATTATGCGTATTTCGCTTGGGCTCATCTGGTTGTTTGATTAATATCATTACGTCCGTTTACTTCCCAAGCTTACAATAATGCTGAATTAAATCTCAGTAATTCTGAAATAATTCTTGCATCCTATAGTGAGTAAATTCTGAATCTGTTCTGAAATGATTTGTTTAATGGCACAGACTTGAACTCAGTGCTGGTTTTCAGCATGACTAGAACTAATTCAGCACCGTGTTCTTTTTCTAGGCATTTTTAGGAGTGGATGAGAACATACTGGGATGGCTTGTCAGCGTTGTTCCAGCCATTACAGGACATATTAAGCACTGACTAGCATTACTTCAGAACGAAAAGACTGCTACTTATTATCATCATCTGTGTCCTACGCCGGCGCAATTCATTCAGTTTACAGAAGGAAATCAGTTTTTATAATTGAGAGAATTTTGTATTTAATAAACTGTAGTACATTCTCACTGCAAATCCGTCAAGTGAGATCCACTGGTAGCATCCTGTAAATAAGCAAAATATAAGATTAGTTGATGAAAAATAGTGCTCAGCACATTGTAAGAATTTACATTTATAAAGGTTTACTTACATAACTGCCACTGTCATATCCTCTGGTATCTTTTTCATTTGCCTACAAATGAAAACAGTGTTGTCATTACTATATGTTCAATAAACGTTGACTTATAAAAATAAGCAGGCGTTTCGCAATTTTACCTGAATTCCTTTCTTCAGCTTACACCTTTAGGCACGATCTTTCAAATTGTGAAAGTACGTTTTCGTGGCCTTATCCATCATGTCACCAACCTCTCTCGACGTCATTAGTTGGCCGGAGAATTCCGCCATAATTACATCTGAAGAACTAAATACTTTATAAATGAACCTTACATCTCATTATTTTATAAAAGGTATAAGGCACAATACTGGACTTTGTCAAAGTCCCCTGAAATGTAAACTTCAAAGCCACTTCAGGTTTTAGAACATGGTGCATCATGACCTTAAGTGATAACTTTGGATCACTCTGAAGGCAGCTAACCATCTTAGCAGTCTACAAGAAATAAGAATTAAATATGTCAACTCACATATTGCTGTTTGTACTTTTCGTCTCTTAAAGATGCTTCCAGCATCTCTAAGTGGTCTTCATTCTCGATCGGAAACTGCAGTGTGAAGTCATCGTTTGCTGGAAGGGAGGTTTGTTGTCGAGATTTTCTGTCAATAGTCATAATGTTCAACATTTTCGTGCACAGGTTAATGATTTCCATATTTGTATCTTTAAATAGATAATTATTTTTAAGTAATTACCGAGTAATTTCTGAATTTTGGAATCAGTGGTATCTTCGTTAGGCGGCAGTCTAAAGCACGAATAAAAATTGTAACAATTATTCCTACCGGTCAGATACAGTTGTGTTTTTGCCAATAGGAGAGGAAGTATGGATTATGGGAGCACTGAAAGTACTGAAAATGAATGGCTTTCAATTACGTAAATACCTTGGGATTTGGGCTATGAAGTCATCAAATATATTGTAATCTGGATATTGTGGTTTGATGCAACCAACTTCACTGGCGGCCACATCAATATCCATTGAGTTATAAAGGAAATTCTTCTCTAATTTCTTGGCATCCCTGAAAAATACGTTAGACAGAAAATGGCACCTACCTTTTTGGTCTCTTACTAGGCATTGGCAACGTATCATCGTCCATGTCTGCCTTCTTGGAGCCTTCATCATTGCTTCTCAAAAACTCTACACACTTTTTACAATCATCATAAGTATCTAGAAGGGTGATAATGAAATATGCCAACTTACCAAATTCCAGTAGTTGACGGAAATGAAACACTGACCATCCAGTCCCGGTACACATAGGCTCTAGATGGTTTGCTGTGCTGCTGTACGCACATAAACCACTACGCACAACCCAGGTGTTTGGGATGGCGACTACAGTGTCATCTTCTAGCGAACGGACGACGAGATATCTGATTGGTGTAGAATTCTGCGGAAGGATATGTAATGAAGTGGAAATACGACTGTTACTTTATCTGTATCAGGTTGCTTAAAATGAATAACAGCATGGATATACCTATATCTCAAAAACTTGGAATAAACTGTCAAATGAACTTCAGTTTAACCAACAACATTAACCAGTTAAAGGTAGATGTTCGGACTTGACGACAAATAGATGTCACAAAAAAACTTAGACGAATTACATACCAACAGTTCAAGCAAAAAATTACGGCACAGTTCCTTCAATTAAAAGTATGAAGCAGGGGGATGACTACTTCGTCATTAGTTGTTGGAACAGTCATGCACTTGCAGACAATATTCACATAGGATATCCAATGTGTTTCGTGACTGAATTTCGAACATCTAAATATCCCTAAATTCCTTGACTTAAACGGTGTCGTAAAATCATCACTATAATCACTGTAGGGTCGAAAACGGATCCTATCTTCACTTTCCATTTCAACTATATTCCCTGGTTTACCTAAGGCTAAGATGACGTTGTCCGGAGAATAAGATGTGAATATGGTATTCCGATACGTCAGCTTTCCCTTGCTGAATTCAATACACCTATTACCAGCTTCTTTAGGTACATGCTTCACACCTGTACTTTTCATTAAGTACACGTGTTCAACATAGCGCTGAGCTGCCTGCTTAGCCACAGTGTAACCACAGTGCACGAACTGCCTTATCTTGCGCATATAGGATTCGAAGGGAAATGCGCTGAATTCTTCTAGTGGCCCATGCAGCTCAACGTCATCCGCTATATGTTTTAGAGAATGTATATTGTAAACAATATGTTCACTTCCGAAACAATTCTCATATTGGAGTAAGAAATTACTCAAATCTGTCCGAGCAGCATCCAAAAACAGTCGGCTGTATTTGGTACTCGAAAGTAAGTATACTGCCAGTGATAATCTCCTGAAATTAGCGTACAGGTGGCACGGCAGAGTGTTCCTGAGTAGGACAGGACCCAAATATAGTAGGAAAAGTCTACACTCAGTTGCTTTCCATTGGCTAAGGTCATCTAAGGACCGACATTTCCTCTGAAAATCAGAAGGAATGTGTTTTCTACTTCCTTGCAGTCCGTTATTAATATCTGCAATAATCTTACTATCCATCTGCTTCTCTCGCCGTGCTGCAAGACCCAGCCAAAGGAACACCAACTTCTTAACAATACCAAGGTATATTAGATGCATTGGCTCCAAGAGAAATGACTTTACCATGTCAAGTGGCAATTCCTCAAGGCAGCTTCTGCCCCGATGGTGGCTTAATTGAACTTGACCACGGAATGTTCTATCATTTCTAAGTGTCTGGTTCCCATTAGGAAATGTCATCCTACCCTCCAAACGACAACCTACAACTTCACATTTATCACAACCTGTTTTTCCATTGTGACCGACGGTTTGTTTTACATTAGAACGAGCAGGCGTGTCACATATAAATGCTAGAACACTGACAGTCACACTCTTACCCCACTTCTCAACATATAGACCGTTTTTATAAAGATCTTTCAATTCAACTAATAGGTCCATAGAAACCTCATTGAAGTTGTTCGGTTTTCTCAAACCGCCATGTATACCAATTAAGAAAACGTCACTGACGTATGGAGTTGTGATACGACCTAGGAATGGCCATAATTGCTGCGAAGAACTGTTCGATATAGATAAACCGTCATAGTTGATTTGCAAGCCAACATGTTGAAAAGTACCGTAGTCAACCCAACTATCTAGATAACGCTGCAGATTTTCCTTCAGTCCAATGTGATAGTAAACGCCTTGTCCAAGAAATCTAGGTACACACATGCCGCTATCTTTTAGCAAGCCTCGTATGGTTGTTGGTACATGTAGACTAAATTTACGCATACAGTCCAAGATATCTTGCGCAAGAACCCCTGTTACATTGTTCCTAAGTAACAATTCCATAATTGATTTTCTGACCAGCTCTTTTTGTGTCATCTTTTCGGGAACAATCTGAAGTTCTATTAAAACTAATTAATACATAATAATAAATGTTACGGTTCTCTTCAATTTGTGAAAATACAGCGACGGTCTCACTAGTACTAGGTATACCCACTGTTCCCTGTACAGTTGAACTTGAAGGCAAAGGTACTGTATTAACCCTTGCCACCTCTTCTCTAGATGAGGAGTAACGTTTCCAGAAGTCCCAGTCACTAAATGCTGCATCACGTAACCGTTTTTGACGGCGGTAAAATGTGGAGTAGCTGTATCCAAGGCATTCATGCAGTCTGCCAGAAGATATTCTTCTCTTACGACTTGTTGCAGAATGTTGAATGCCCGAATCTAATACATTATCTGAGTTGTTTTCCTTATAATGGAAATGCACAAATATACACCCAAAATATAACTCACCTGCATGATTTATAAATCCTGTAAGAATGGTCTCTGTATGTAAGGAGTACTGCTTATATACCTCTAGGCAAACATCCGTTTTTTTAATATGAAAGGGGATGAAAGGTGAGCTGTAATCACAACTGTTAACACTTTCCCTACAGCAAGTATATGTTTTCGTCTGTGAATCGACACAATCATTCCCCCTCTGGTTTCCTTTTGATACCCAAGGTTTTAATATGTGACCTCGTAAACAGTGCTCAGCAATCGAAACAATCTGCATTCTACTTATGACAAGTCTCCTTTTTCATCTGTGGGATTTCAGCCCCCCCCCACCCTCACTTTTGTGTTTCATATTTCGTTATATTTCATTCATGATAAGTATATAATTTCATCTGTTATAGTTAACCCACTTTTTGTTCTAATGTTTTTGGACTTTTCAATAGTGGGCCTGTCAAACGTGAACCGTTATCAGTAATACTTACATATAAATCATGACAATTGTATTCGCTCGACTGTTTAATGTGCATTAAACATGGTCCAATATGTTCTCTTAAAATTGTTTCCGTTTTCCATCTTTGACCTCATTTTTATTGAGCTGTTATCAAATTTCGAAATGATACACAAAAAATTTTTTCCCATTGCTGGTAAAATACTTATTAGACACAACCTACCTGGCTTATAATTTTTTTTCATTTGTGACTTCGTCTCAACTGAATTGTAATCAAGTTCAAGGACGTTCCACAAATGAAATACATTATTCACTACAATCTTCACATGTGATCAATTCACATTCCCCTACCCCCTGTTGAATTTCGTTTTCGTTGTATTCTTATTAACTCTCACACCTCTGGTCAAATAGACCAATCACATCATAGGGAATTAGCAGACAAGTATGTAGCCGTCACACTACATACTCTGTGTGAAACCTACTCTTTGCTGATTGGTTGGTTTCAACATGCTATGTCGAGAGAGAGAGAGAATGCTTTTTTTCAGCATTACTCGGAGCATTTAGGCATGCAGTGCTTATTTTCAGCATTGAAGGCATTATTTCAGATGCTGATCTTTTTTTTAAGATTTTGTCGCATTAATTCAGCACCCAGCTCTCTTTTTAAGCACGACCAGCGTTATTTAAGAACATAGTGGGTAGAAAAAATTTTCATTTACCATAAAAAGGCATTATTGACGCATAGGTTAGAATAAGTTTAGAATTGTTGTAAGCTTGGGTGGTTTGAAGTTTGGTGCACAAAAATATATGCTGTATCTTACTGACTAAATAAGGACGACAGTAGTTGTCTAGAGTAAAAGTAGTGAACCTATCTGTCTGTTAATTTACTGGATCATTGTATATGTATACTATTATACGTGATATACAACATATTCCAGTTCACAGAGATGTTTCAAAAAGATTATTCAGTGCAAAAACAAGATTCTCAGTGTGTAATACCATAACTGCACTGCACTTACTCCAACAATGGGACTTAAGACTATTACTCCTATTTTCAAGCATAGTAGCGTTTTCCACCAAGCTACTGGTCCAGAGAAGCTATCTTTTTTACAATCTGTATCAGCTGTTATCTGCTGGACTGGTATATCAGCTTGTTGTACATGAGGTGTATCTGATGGCTCAGTAGCTTAGTGTGTGCTATTTTTGATTGAGTGGGAAAGTCACTCGCTGGGAGTCAGTTACACCAACTGAATCGTCTTTAATAGGACAAAGTGGACTATATTCTATCATATTACACCGACATCACCTATTTCTTTTATCAATGTTACGATTTCAAACTAAGTATTCCAAAAAATAGTGACGATTTACCAGTCATGCACATCGACTCTTTATAACTTTTGGGACCTCTGTAACTATTGTTTTACTTTGGCGCAACTGACTGGTAATTTTGAACTGGATTAATACATGTTTGCATGTAAATTATACTGATTTATTGTGTCACTGAGTAATGACTCCTCTCACAAAACTGCATTACATGTACAGGCTCGCATCAAATGAATATCAGAAAACAACAATTATTCATCTATACGTATATCGTCTGCCACTTCTTTCGGTTAATGAATTGTTATTGGTTTACAAAAAATATAGCCAAGATAATTTAGATATAAGCCACTTAACGGGCAACAAATCGTCAGTTGGAGATGTTCCTCTTTGATCTTGTATCTCATCTCGTATTCATTTTCGTGAACAACAGTAGCGAGCATAGACCGGGTTACTTTTGGGAAAATACTCCTCAGTATTCTCAAATTGAATTGGCGGTGACAGTGACATTGTATAGTTGTAAGTATGTAACAAAATGTAAGATAATTAGACAGTTCGTGTATTCCAACTAGTAGACGTGAGGGTAAATTTCCCATCGCATATAACATCGGATGATAGAACAATAAAATGGATGTCAGAATCATTTCTTGAACCAATTTTTATCTTAAATACTTTTTTGTGAAGTAAGACTTTGGATATGACTTCAGTCAAGAGGCTGCTTACATTCCTCTTTCCCTTTCTCCTGATATAACTTTTCTCACAAGGATTCTTGTGCTACCGGAATGGTGGGTTTCACACACTTTCTGAGCTCTTGTTCATGAAATAAGTCAACTTTTTCTTCTCGAACAAGCTAAGAGTATTTGTTCATAGGATTCTTTGTCGTCTGAGACACAAAAGACTAAAGTGCAATCTTCTAGACTTAAAAACACACACATACATAATTCATAAACGGAATCCAGATTCTCAGCCTGTTTATTATTTTTGAAATTGAAGTGCAAAAGTAATTCACCGAATGATGAGTTCTGTAATTTTATCTTGTAATAATTGAATGTGGTAAATAATCAGTGGGTAGTTTATCACTATTCTAATGTTTTTATGTTGTGATACCTTGTAAGATGCATTTCTTAGTATCTGTTTATTGAGTTTGCACTGGAATAAATAACTCATTTAACACAATTAAAATGGTGACAGCAGGTCATAGTGTAATCTTCTTGATTTCGTTCTAGGATGGTGACTGAAGAACTGTGTAAAACCTTGACACTATCCAGGTCGAAAAATAGTGCTGTCTGGAGATATAAGTCATAACTCGCACAAAGCCATCGCATGTGAATTCGCTATTATTTCACTACATTTTTAGAAGTAAAATAGGCTTTGCTTACTCAGTTGTACCAGGGCATTTTGACGTCACCTAGTGTTTTGTGAGCATGTATGAAACTTTTCAAAACTCGATTTATCTACAGTTTTAAAAAATCGTGAAGACTGCCCAGTTACAATGTCTTTAAAATCTTTTTTTCCATGTAGATATGGAGATGTTAGGTGTGGTTTTGTACAGCAATCAATAAATGAACTGAATACTACCAATGTTTTACAGTAGTCAGTCGTTTTACACAAGCCTTTAATCTTGTTATTTAGATCAATATGGAGTGTATAAATTCAAGCAACACGGAAATTTGCAATGACCAATCAGTAAATCCCTCTAAGACTTCAGAATATAAGAGCAAGGTATCTAAACAAAGAAAGGTGTGCAAAAATACCAAACATTCTTGCAAACACGATCACGACAAGTGTTCGAAGAATTCCTGTAATCCTGATGTTTTACGAAATCTTTCAACTGTAATTCAGAATTGGAAACTAGGTGATAAAGCTCCATCGTACAAATCAACATCAACAGTTGAAAAGGTTCTTAAAAATATTGAGAAACGTATCATTTATGGAAGTGTTGAAAAAATTCCTCTTGATTGTCAAGCTGCTGGTGGTGGATTAGCTTATCCGAAGGAGTCAAAGTTCATCTTCCATTATCAGATCCGCAAACTTGATGATGATCATACTGTTATTGATGATACGCGTAAATATGGAAAAACAATGGAGATGTATTCGGGGAAAGAATTCCAGTTGGAGGTTAGAAATGTGTAATTCATTCTTTGTTCCCTTACTTGATGGTTATCATTTTATCAAAACAAACGTACGCTTACGCACAATTTTGTTATCATATGATGACATTAGAATCTGACATTAAAGCCATTTCTGCCGGCTAATATCTTATTATCGTATAATACGTAAATTCAATCGTGTAAACTTTAAAATAAATAATGCCGGTTAGTAACATAGCACACCTAAATGTTGTTATCCATTGATGGTTATTTTATGCTTTCGTACGAATTCATTGGATATCTTCGAAATTCGGTTCAGTCCTTAGGATGCTATATCAAAGGTCTTCAGTCCGAGTCCTCTCTGCAACTGAAGTTTTCATCGCATCTGCACAGTAATCTCCGTTGATATCAATTATATGTTTATCAATAATGACCGTATTTCAGTTTTATATACAAGCTTAAGCTTACGGATCCACAACTCGTTTTATTGTGTAAATGAGAAACAGTTTTTTAATTACTCCAGGAAAAATAAAATATACTTTAGAAACCACAATTCTACAGAAGACAATGAGCTACTCCTACTCCTACTTTGTGTAGGTTAGCGCTACCATTTGGATTCATTAGGTAAGGTAGTGTTGAAACCTAGGGATTTTCCGGTCAGATATTTAGTGTCTAGATCAGTGAGTTGAACCTTCATTTCTTAAGAAGTGTTCACAGTTTTATTCCATGGAATAATTAATTTGCTTATTGATGATTGCCGTAGTCTTCTGTGTAATTTGTGAATTCAGTCGAACATAAGAGGTGGGTAGTTTTTTCTGAGGCAGTTATGAATCGAGAAATTGTACTCGCCTCTGATATTTCTGTTTTTCGTTTCAGGGGATATTGCTTGTACACTCCTCCAGGGAGGAATGTCAAAAGTTTTACTTTTCCTCAGTGTTGATAAGACGGTGTGATACTTACTTTTATCCGTAATAAAATGTGTGTAAGGTGCAGCAGTTTGCTCGGTCCTACTATGAGACATGACCATCGAAGTTGGAAGGTATGGAACAATGAGTAGTTTTCAATCATAGATTTCTGCGTTCAATATAGTCAGTAGTAATGAGGTTAGGCTTAGGTGAGGAGAGAAATCTAGTTGACGAAGTTGTGAAGCTCCAGTTTGCCACCTTCCAGATTCGGAAAACCGAACTATTGTCTATTCGGTAAATTTGTATCTGTAGTAGTTTCAGCCAACCACCTTTCAGATAGATAGCTAGTAGCATAATTAAGAAAATTTTCAAATGTATTCACTTCGCATTTATTAATTTTTCAACTGACTGTTATTTCGAATGGATTATTCACACTAGCTAGCTCTTTATCAGGACGAAATAAACAGTAACTAGCTTAGGGATTAATGAAACATGTAATTCAGTTGAGTTTCCTCCAGTTGTCGATCCAAAATCTTTCTGATAGATTCAAGGTTAAGTCTAGTTTCATAAACCTGGTACTCATTGTTAATCTTTCTTTAAAAGGTATATACGTTCTTCGTATAATCATGATTTCACAGTTGCAATTTACTAACCAGAATGTATCATTAATGTTCACATGAAGGAGAACTACAGTAGTTGGCTTATGAGCGACTTAGTTTACTGTGCATACATGTGTTTTATCTCTCATCCCAATGGAATACGTGTAGATTTCAGTCCAGTGCGTATACTCGTTAGCAGGTTGTATTTTCACTTTTATACTTGACATCAATTATCTAATTTCTAGTATATCATTTTCCAAGAATGGTTTCTTAGGATATCTTAGTTTGTTTATTAGATATATCACACAGTGCAACAGTATTATTTACTGGATAACGTTTCGAACAAAATTTATTGTTCATAATCATATCAACTGTAATCACACGACTTTGAGACTCGAGTTTTACAGTTTTCTTTGTTTTCTCCTATTTGTCGTAGGGGTGGTAGAATTTTCCAGATATCTGGGACAGGTGATGAATCATTCCTATTACATGTATTTGCAGTTGATTCGATAAACAAAGCTTCTGTTATCAATCTCTGCCTATACCCTGTGACATTAGATTTTAAAACTGTCCTCCTATCCCATCCTATTGTATGGTTGTGTGTAACTGCATGTAGTGCTATAGCTGAACTATTCTCTAGATTTCTTATCTTATTTGGGTCAACCAATCTAGGTTTTGCTAAGTTTTTATGTTCAGCTAGTCTGACTGCCCCTGTTCTACTAGTTTGACCTATGTATTTGACCTGACAATCATTACAGGGTATGAGATAAACTAAATTGTTTTGTTTTAAGGGCTCTACAGGATCCTTTAACCGAAAAAGCTTGTTTCTAATTGAGTTTGTGGGTTTAAATGTTTCACTCTGTGATATGGAATTACTTACTACCACAGTGCCCAAGTTTTACATATATATTAATGTTTCTTAGGACAGTTTTTCTAAAGTACAACCTACTGTCATCATCCTATGTATGACCCGATCAATAAACATAAGACTTTGAACAAACCACTAACAACATAAATGGAACAAGATAAAACAAATCAGTTGTTTATATCATCAGTATCTTCTCAACCAAGTTATATCTGAATATTGGAAGTTAATAGTTTTATTGGAATTCTAACATACTTCAGTTCATTAGAGATAGTGTAGAACAATAATTAATAATGATCATGGTATATAGATGAGTCGAAATGTTATATTAGTAAAATATAAAAATACTGCTATGCCCGTGTATGTAATGTAATCGAGGTTTCTCGGATTAAACAAAAAGTGGGGAACAAGGATAACAACAAGATATTGAGATACGTCATTTAAAATATTACCTAAGTCTTTAGAAAACTCTAAATAAACATGAACAATCTATATGATCGTCATTGTGAATGATAATGTGTTACTGAGATATCACTTCGTAGATAAACGTGTATCAGTAAACAGGAAACAGCGAAGAAACAGTAGGTAGCCAGTCTAGCTAGCTATCCAAACCCTTAACATTGATTACAATCTGTCAGGGAGGTTTTAAGAGGTGTGTTCTTGTTGAACTCTGTAAACCAAGAAACCGTAATCCATCAGTTTTTTGTCGATTTGTTTGTTAGCATCACTACCATTATGTATATTTGATAAACAGACGAAATTAAATTTCTACTATGCTCCGTATCTTCATATCAAGTCACTGTCACTAGTGGAGTTGTCTTGATTTTACGATTATACTTTGAGTTTTTTTTTTAAACTTCCAACTTCTTTTGATTTTTCTCCCTCCATCTGTTTTTCTATTAGTTTTGGGAACATTGTTTAGGCACTATGCTACCTGGTGAAGTGTCATCTTTCATAGTGCCTGCAGAAAGACTTGGTTCATTTCCAGCTGTCAATAAAAAACTACGTGATTATATGTTAGATAAGAAGGATCATGCTGTAAAACATTGTTGTGGATTAATGAGCTTACAAGAACAAGGCGGTTTAGGCTATCCAGATCTTGATGAGTTAATGATGAAACCAGAATCTCTTGAATTTATTTTCGATCTGATCAAGTGAGTCTCCTTTTTTTATGTCTTTCTTGAAAATCACTATCTTAAAATTTAAAATCACCAAAATTTGAAATCATTGTGTACTGAATTGATATTTCCGCGTAAAACGTTGGTTAATTACCTGTTAGTTATTAGACAAGCATATATATAACTCAGAACTTGAAGAGGTTACGAATCGATTAGGCATTTTTATGCTTCATATCAGGAAAAGTAAGGAAATGTAAAGTGTGGTCAACGAAAATAGCAGAGTCTAATGTTATCGAATGATACAAAGGCAAGAATTCGATTTTAATTCAAGTATTACAGAGTAAATAAATAAAAGGTGTATATGTGGCTGATGTAGTTACTTCACCTCTGACCATTTGGTAATACGTTCGGTTTATTTCTTTTCCCTTTTCGCGTTCCCAGCGGATCACTACACGGCTTAAAGCTTTCAAATTCCAGTAGCGGTGGTGTTATTTTTGCGGTGTGGGATTGCTAACCCAGCCTTCTCTCTTTTTCGGCTTTACTACGAAAAAGGTAAGGTTTAGGAATGCGTCGACCGAGAATCTAACCCAGATCTCTCGTGTAGCTGGCTAGCATTCTGTTATTCAACCACCGACTCCTAATACGTTCTAACACTCACAAAATAGACCTAGTGCACCAACTTGTAAGGAAAAAGGTTTTCCCTTCTTGTAAAATGTCTCGATAAATAAAACAGGTGCTACTGTGTACTTTCATTTATTTAGATGGTAAAGTAGAAGTATGCCTAACTCTCACAACGACATACGAAATATTTCATTTGTCAGACGTTTCAGTGCCATGCTAGACATCATCATCAGTGCTTCACGTGTAAGTGAAGTAATTTATTCAATAATTCAATCAGCCCTAAATACAAGTATTCTCCAACATTTCAGGGCACATAGTTTCTCGTTATACCTACTAATCATCTTTTCTGATGAGTAACATATTTTGGAACGAGAAAGTAGTGGTGAAAAATACGAATTTGAGACTCAGTCGAGGCTCCTTAATTTGAATGACTACAAATAAGATCCCTGAACGAGGACCGATTGGACGGTAAGCTTGGTTCCAGCTCCTAAAGCGTATATTAATGTTGTTTCAGTGGCACTGTGGTTAGGACTCTCGCCGACCATGCACATGGTCCGGGGTTCGATCCCCTGCCGACACACACCCGGTATTTATGGTCAGCCTGCAAAATTTGGGCTACCGATATCCATGCAGAAAATTCCATACTTGTACTGAAAATACGGTGTCGCATCAAGCTGTAATCAAAAAATTAAAAATTAGTAGTTGTACCTGGGTTGTTCAATATCATATCAAGTTGATATGATTATGAGCAATAAATTGTGCTCGAAACGTCATCAGTAAATATTACTGTATAACACTGTGAGACTCTATCAAAATAAAATTTACCCATAATGGAATTACACTCTACCACAGTGCCCAAGTTTTATTCTTATATCAATGGTACCTGGGTTGTGTAGTCCAATGCCGTTACTTGTTCACGGCTCTTTGGTTACGATTAGGGATTGTATTTGACTTGGCGGCCCTTCAGCTGTGTCTGTGTAAACGTGTGTTGATGGACATGAATAAGTTTGTCTTGCCCACAATTCTGTTCGCATGCTTTTGGAATCGTTTAACCAGGTGTCGGGAATGGAGGACATTCTTACTGTCAACATATTTTATTGCTCAAGGTAGGCATTTGTGCCTCCCTTTTTATCACTATCGAAAATTTTAAGTATTGGTTGGTAGGGATTTGGTTGATTGGTTACAGGATTTCATCATGAACTGACATTGGTTAGAGAAACCTGGGAGTACTGGACAGCTGTTTCGTCCTAGTTTGGGACTCTTCAGCAGTACGCACCCACTGGGGTTCGAACCCGGTCTGGTTTTGTTTTCAATGACAAATATCTAATATATATATATATATATTCTCTTCACAGATAAGTTATATATAAGCAAAACTAATATGAACAATCTAACCAAGTTAATTTCATCGAATATTCCATATGCTATGCCTGTCTAGCTATTGATCAGGATACCTGTTCTCTCTTTAAGTCTATAGACAGGGAATAGTCATTCATAGTATGCTTATTATTATTGTCTTATGTATGTTGGGCGATGAAGTAGAACATAACTCTTTATTGTTAAATCGAATCAATAAGGGCGTTATATTTGTTAAGGATAAGTTTGCTTGGTAATTAATTGCCCAATTCGTCTTTATTGTTTGTATTTCGTTTAACATCAACATCTAAAGAGCATCAAAAACAGTTAACGATTTTCTAAGTCTAAAAATACTTTGATTTGTATGCATTTGAAACTCAGATACACTCATTCATACATGTAGGCTTTATTATTATTTATTGCATTACAAAAAGCCAGTATCTAAAGTATTTGATAAAAAACATTGTCAACATTCTAGAAAGTGATTTCATCATATGAGCCTGAGCCCCAGGATATATTTTGTTTTCTTTCGTCTCAGTAGATATTTCTAGTGCATCTAATCTCTAGGCGTCTTACCGACTAAACAGTAATAATATTTATTTCCAAAGTATAATAATTATACAGAACAGGATTTTCAGCTTTGTGGATATTCAAACTATTCATCTCCTTTTAACACGTGAAAAACAACTCAAGTAATAAGAGTAATAAAGCTACAAAAAGAGGAGCCCATTAGTCTTTCCTGGGCTACTGAAAAAGGACTATACCATCCTGAGAAGAGTGTTAAAGGTAGTTAGTAGGACTAGTGCTGTAAAACTCAATCAGCTTGTCACCACATTAGTAGAAAGGCATCTGAATACATGCGAAAAATGGTCTAAAACCATACTCTCCCAACTCTCTCCTAGTATCTCATCAGGTAGAACCGGAAATCAGTACAAAGTAATATATGCTCGTACAACCAAGTACAGGAACTCAACGATACCATATTTGGCCCGTGATCTAAGTAACAGAGACAATGTTAAGCGCGAAACCTATGAATTGCTTTGTTGTTAATAACATAATTTTAGGCTCTTTTATTGCTCTCTTATTTTGTATTCTATAGTGAACTCCTTCCTAAAATTACTTAGCTACCTAAATTATTAACATTGGCTTACTTTTTTGTACTTTATTCTATTCATTCTTTTGTGTATCTACTGGTACCGACTACATTAGCACTATGAGTAGTACAAAATTGTCCTATCATCAACCATCATGTAATTATTAGTTTTTGTGGTTGTTGTTGTTTTTTCTATTCGGCAATATTAACTGACAATCTTGGTTGTGAACGCCATTATCACCATCTTAAAATTTTGTATTATGCAGGAGTACTCACACTATCACTACAAACACCGCATTAGAGCTGACAATAAAAATCCTGAAATGTTATTTTATGATTGTCTAGTGTTGTTCAATCAAGTTAACTGATCATCTTGGCGATAAACATTCTTAAATATCATTTCATAACTTCTTGTATGATTATAGCTTTACTGTCACCGCGCATAAACATATCATAGCTTCCACTACCCAATGCTGAGATATTATTTATGTTGTTTATTTTCCTTTCTACTTCTTGGTATTTTTTCGCATTTTTTATTATTTTTGTGTTTTCTTTGTTTTGATGTTGTTGTTTTTATATTTATTTTTTGAAATATCCTTTTAAATGTTTGATAAAATTAGATGCAAATATTGTAGATATGTGCTGAAAATTCCACACTGTACCACTGGTACTGTTTCTGGAATAAAGCAAAAATTATTGTTATTAAAAGGAGAATATTTGCAATAATAATACTGACAATAAGTTGTTGTTTATTTACTGGTTAAAAATTAGGTTTATAAGCTCTTTTCTTACATTCGTGTCTTCACACAATACCTGCGCTGTATATGGTATAGTTGAATGGAAGCAGTCAAATGACCTGGAAGCAGCCGACCATGTGCTCCTAGATCAAAAGTGGCATTCACAGTATTGAAAAGTGTTTACTGGATATATGACAAAAACGAATTATATAGGGTGCATGTCTCTAATATGCTGCAAAAAGGAGATCTCAGTTTTCCATAGGAGTGGTAATAATAAACAAGCCAGAGTCTGTATGAGTACCAGTTATATGATCCACTAATTCTGATGAATGATTGATTGTATGTTGAATATAACCTAATAATAACAGTCACATTTCTCAGCATTTCAAATGGATGCTGCCCATAACGATCGTTTCAAGTTTCACCTTAACCACAACCCTAACTTAATCCCACCCTAACCCTGAATCAGGCTGAAACTTGCAATGTTGAGCTATCGGATAAGCTGGTTCAAGGTTATTTGACTGTGGTATCTAGTCTATACTCTTGCCGGTTGAATTTTTATATTTAGCCGTATGAGCGTAAATTCTTATGAAATTTCCCGTTTCAACTAGATGAATGGAAAAAGTTGCGAATAAATGGGATATTTAGTATCCGACAAGATGAATTTAGTCAATCGCTTACAAGAATTAAAGTGCCTATCAACAATAATGTCAGTTAGTTGGGTCAAAGGCATACCACTAAGCTTGCTTGCAGCCTTCAAAGCCATACGTAATATAACGTAGTCCTTTTCGAGAAGTCCATGAAAGAATAATGGGGAACAATGAAGAATGGGTAAAATAAATGAATTAAGACATCATAAGACAAGTGGTTTATTTTCGTTGGTTAGATGTTGCAAAAGAAAACATTTAGGTTTAGAGTCAAACGGGAAGGCGTGTTGGTCAGAATGATTCTGTTTAATCCGAAGCAATCAAAATAGGTATCATCTGTCAGGGTTGTTTTACTAGTAACACTAGCAGCAATCGTTCTTTTCAAGACTATTTCTAGAATATTCGCGGAAAATATTTATTCAAACATTTATTGTATAGAATGTGGGGAAACGCAAAAACTGATGCTAACTTCGGTGGTTCAGAGGTAGATTGCTCACCGGTTGTAAGTTTAACAAAGAGGGAAGGTGGGGCATGTAGCTAGCGACCCCATCCCGTCGGAACAAAACACCACTGCTACTGAAACTTCAAAGCTTTAGGTTGAAGCACCGTGTTCCACTCGGAACGCAAAGGAATAGAATAATAAATAAATAACTTAAGAGATTCCCCAACATATTTTCGAATACAAGTTACAATCTCCAAGATGATATCAATTCCGATGAGGTTGTAGACACCATCTGATGACGGGTTGAAGTATTCACAAAACTCAAGTCAAAGCCTTTCTGGCCTGTACCTCTAACAGTATGAAAATCCTTATTTATTTTCTACGTCACTTCCATTTCTGTTCGTTATAATATAATTACATTTGTATCGTGTGGCAACATGAACTGCTACGCTTTTGTGCCAAGTTCATCGCTGATAATTCAGTTAGTCATTGTACTATGTCTATGAAGATAGCCGGTATTAAGACTTATTAGTTCACATTGTAATCTGAATCAGTTGAATAACTCTTGGCTAAAAAGTCTAGATCTTAACGTCTGTTTGTTGAAGAGATTGGAATTGTAACTTTCTTAATAATTCGAAACTGTAATATGATAGCTACTCACCCGACCCTTATTTTTAATATTTAATAACTACACTTATGCCTCCTTCGTTTCCTCATCCACTTACCAAATATTTTTTTTACTATAATTGTTTCGTAGAGTTGAAATTCCTGGAACTAATCGTAAAGAAACATGGATAATGACACCGGAAGAAAAAATTGCAATGATACCAGTTTTACGTGAAGAAGGCAATAAATTCTATGGTCATGGTGAATATAACCAAGCCGCTGCACGTTATAGTGAAGCGTTAGGCATTTTAGAACAATTAGTTTTACGTGAAAAACCCGGAGAACCAGAATGGATTGAATTAGATAAATCCCGTATACCATTATTTGTAAATCTTGCACAATGTCAATTCAAAATGAAAGTAAGTAACTCCGTGATGAATTTTTATTGACATTTTATGTGAGTGAATGTGTGAATTATTTAATTCCATTTTATCTCATGTTCTTACTGGACTATACACTTTATGTGGATTTAAATGATAATTAAAACTCGCTGACTGTTATTCTATCTTGTACTTGTACCACGTAGTACACTTTGTGATTTAATTCTAACCAAAAGGTCCTGGGTTCGAATCCCGGTGGGTGTGTACTGATGAAGAGTCCCAAACTAGGACGATGGAAACAGCTGTCCAGTACTCCCCACAGGTTTTCCAATGGTTCTCTAACTAATGTCAGCTCATGACGAAAATCCTGTAACCAATCAAATCCCTACAAACCAACACTTGAATATCAATGAGATGCTCACTAGCGACTTACCCTATTCAGGTAGGTAGTTACCTGGGGTTCTAGTGAGAAGTCGTGACCAGAAGAGTGCAGCATGTCGGGCGTGAGGACAAATACTCGCCGAAGACATTGGCTAGGGGTCACGCTATGTCGTGAATTGGCAGAAGTTGGAATTCATGGGCCATTGGACCGGGTCCCAGTGGCTTAATGGTATACAAGCTCGCCTTGTAACCAGAAGGTCCTGGGTTCGAATCCCAGTGGGTGCGTGCTGCTGACGAGTTCCAAACTAGGACGACGGAAACAGCTGTCCAGTACTCCCCACAGGTTTTCCAATGGTTCTCTAACTAATGTCAGCTCATGATGAAAATCCCGTAATTCTAATTTACCTATACCGGTTATTGCATGCGGAAATTAATGGATTTATAATTGTAGAGCCTGAAGAAGAATCTACTGAAAACAATTGTTCGCTCTAATTATTTTTTCTAATAACTATTTGCTTGTATAATTTATGAAGACGCAAATAATACTGATGATGATAATAAGTAGTTTTGGAACCGCTTCAGCACTACAGATTACCCCAAACTTTCATCAAATTCATTCAACAGCTAGCTATATGATGATGCTACATAGAAGGAGATTCACAACAGAGGACTCAGTGAAGGCTTTGAGTTGAACACAGGAGTAAGACAAGGCTGTCTACTATCACCAATGATATTCTTGATTGTGAGGGACTGGATCATAAAGCAGGCCGTGGGGTGCGTGAAGATAAAAATACGTTGGATCGACAGTGGACTGTAAAAGATCTGGACTTAGCGGACGATTTATGTCTATTATCACAGAAACTCCAAGATCTACAGGTTGAAACCAACGGGTTGACAGAAGAGGCAGACAGCAAAGAGAGGACTTCAATAACAAGCCTCAGTCTCTACTAGTCAGAGAAATTCGAAGGTTTTTTCTCTCATCTCTCTCTCTCTCTCTCTATATATATATATATATATATATATATACAGTACCGTTTCACATACAAGTGGCTTCGATGAAGATTTCAAAGGCAGTATCAGAAAAGCAAGACAGACCTTCACTAATCTGAAATCAATGTAGAAATCTGCTGCACACAACGTAAGGAACAAGATTCGAACTTCCAGCACTGATGACAAGTCACTGCTTCCACATAGTTCAGAGACTTGGTGCATCACCGAAAGTATTTCCAACAGGCTTCAGACTTTTAACAGCAGTCGCCTTCGCTCCATACTGAAGATCAGATGGCTTGTTGGAAAGGATTAGCAATAAGCCACTCCAGCAGTGAACCAACTAAAAACCCATAGCCCAACAAATATGCTGAAGAAAGTGGAAACAGATTGGACACACTCTAGGAAGGCTATCGAGTGGCATCACACCAGGCTGTGGAGCGGAACCGGAATGGAAAACGACGATTTTGGTATCTGAGGGTAACAGGGAAGAAGTTGTGTGAGGAGGAGGTGAGACCTGATGAGCAATCGTGGTGCCAGCTAAAGAGACTGCAGAGAACAGTATGAAGTAACAGTATGTTGCTGAAACCCTATATCACTTTCGGGACCCAAGAGAATAATGATAATAAATAATATCCATTAACTACACTGAACTTGGAATGTATTTATTAATCCAACAACGATGATATTTCTCAAACTGTAATTCATGGCATTTTGAACTCATAACTCGATGGCTAGTACTGTTACCATGTAAGCTCAGATATTAATTTAGCATATATTCTGGTGAAATTATATTGATGGGCGAAGTGTAGAAGTCATTCAAAACCACGTCAGTCGACACAAAAATAAAGCTGACTATACTGCCAGAACTAATGGAAACCTAGAATTACACTGCACTGATATTAGAATAGAGTTTTGGCACTGTGGTAGAGTATAATTCCAACAGTAATACAGTATTATATACTTACTGATGATGTTTTGGGCACAATTTATTACTTATAATTATATCAAGATTTTGAATTCATAACCCCACCGGTTAAATCAAGCACCTAAATCAGTGAAAAAGACAGTTCTCCCTTTGAAATAAGGTGGTAAACGATGTTTTTATATGTAATTGTTATGAATTACTTATGCGCTATGTCGAGAAAATGAAAGCTCTCCTCCTTGTACAGTTACCCTTCGTCTCAAATTGCATCATGGTGCAGTATTCAGGTTTTCCTATTGGGAGAAAATTGAAGTTTGCAAAGAATAGATTTAACTAGAAGTACAAGAAGTATTGTCATATATCTTTTTGAATGGTGCGTTAAACCAACAGAAGTAGAGTAGTCAAGTAAGACTTATTTTTAGCCTTGTCAATGTTTTTTTTTCAATTGTGTACATTGTGTTCCCTTTCGGTTTTTTTCTTTCACCAAACTAATTTAGGATTATTATGCTGCAATACGTAATACCACTGAAGCGTTATCTCGAGATCCGACAAATATGAAAGCACTTTATCGTAGGTCGAAAGCGTATACAGAGACATGGGATTTAGACTTGGCGGCTGATGACTTACGGAAATTGGCCAGTTGTTATCCTGATATGAAGAATACAGTGGATAGAGATTTAAAACTGTTAGAAGCAAAACGTGTTGATCAGGAGATGAAGGAAAGACAAAAACTTGCTGGGAAACTGTTAGCCGGTTTGAAATCAGACACAAATTAATATGTCAACTTCATATGTGTATTATAGTGATGTAAATGTTGTGGGAGTTATGTGATTTAGAAGATGCACACCTTGAGTAAGTAATTTTACTTTACACAAGAGTTTAAACGAATCATCGTCATTCAATAATTTAATTTTTTAAATATACTTTTTGCAATCATTTCATTTTAAAACAGTTAGTCCCTTTGATGACTGACTGACTGGTTTCAACGGAGAACTTTGCACAGATATGCAGCAGTTCGAGTTGCCACTCTCCGTCCATGAGCACACAGCAAGAAAAGAGAGTAGAGACAGATTCAAAACAGAGATAATAAAAAGAAATATGAGGCAAAAAGAATAGTAATATGGAGGAACTATTTAGTTTTATTGGATGTTATAAAACACAAAGAGTAAATGCATCTGCGCCGGCTATTGACAACGATTTTGAGCCATATCACCGATTATCTCCAGCCTTCATTGGATTTTACCATCCCGGGGACCCCAACCAGGAGGTCTACGCCTCCCTACATGATCGGCTTAAACTAAATGTTGTGGATTTCATTGACGGTTTTCATGTTTTGGTTTGACCACCGCTGGCTGTTTTCCAACCTGGTCCTATGTCTGCTAACATTGCCCGTCGGTTGAGGAAGGCGATGCCTGGGCATACGTAACATATACGTCCTAACCATCTCAATCGGCGTAACTTCTCAACCTCGTCGATTGATTTCCCCTGCTTACGTAGCACTTGACGCCTAACCTCAGTATTGCTCACCTTATAATACCAGTTCACACGGGAGATAGAACAGGTACCTATGATCAAAGACGGCTAACTGGCCTCTTCATGTCTTTCACTTTCAATGGCCATGTCTCACAGCCAGCCATAAAGGAGGACGGAGCGGACTGCTGAGCAGTACACACGTCCTTTGGTCGAAAGCCGGATATCAGGTCCATGCCAGAGACGGCGTAAACTGGCATATGCGAAACTAGCCCTCTGTATCCGTGCTGAGATTTCGTCAGCGATCAGCCCGTTGGGACTGATGCAAATTCCCAAATAAGTGTAGCGATCAACGCTCTCTACCAATTCACTCCCTATTTCTACACTAGGAGTCAGGGTAGTCCAATCCTGTAACATCATCTTACATTTGACAGAGAGAGGAAAATGCATGCCAAATATTAGCAGATTGCAGCTCAGGGTGTTCAGAAGACTCTGCATTTTGTCAGCGTCTTCATCTAGAAGGACTATATCATCTGCTTATTCTAAGTCAACGAGATTATTCCCTGGTGGTAACAAGTCAGTCCCTGAGTCTCTGAAGTGATTTAGGGTTAATTTCATTAGTACATCAGCAGGAAGCCTTGCCGACTGCCTGCAAACATCCAGTATCACCTTATCAACAATAAAATTTATTCATTTTATTTTTACATGCAAAAAATGGAATGTACAGTTAAATGTTTTTTTTATCTTTTATTATTTTGTATCTAAACAGGTTAGAATATCAATTAGAAAACAATGTTTTCCAATAACTCCTGGGTGTCTGACAACTGCTCATCAAAAAGAAATTCTTAAAATCTACTAACAAATAAGCGCATTTATCTTAGGAAATGTACTCATCACTGGTATTGTCAAATACCTCACCGTTCTTGTGTGTGTATGTGTGCGTGTGCCTTTGTGTACATTACTTCTTTACTAAACTTATTAAAAGATACACTGTGATATGTTTCGTGATTGCGCTAATATTAACTTTCATTGTTCATCTTTTATCTATCTTTACAATTGTTGTTTTTTTTCATTTCTCGTGCAAATTGTTCCATCACACTGCATGCATTATATTGTTTTCGAAAAGTTTTGAACATTAGGCAACAAATAAATAAATTTCTGAAATAGGCATCTGTTGTTTTTTCTTCTTTTTCTTGGCAGCTAAATATCAATTCTACCGATGATTTTTGTTTTCATTCCCTTTAATATATATACATACGTATACATATTATGCAATTTATTTGACACGCTTCTGTCTATTAATATACTGATTGTACAACTTTTATACTGTGTTGTGCTAATCAGTGTACTTCTTTGTGTGTTTATTGACTAATTTGTTGCTCATTTATTATCTATTTTATCTGCACAAAAGTCGTACGGGATGATTTGCACATTGTTCGTTCGTTTCACACTGATGTTTATTAGCTGAATAACAGACCTATTGATTTTTTCCGCTTATTATTATTATTAAGACACATTATGCGCACCAGAAGAGGCGCCACACAAAATTTCACAGTTTTTGCGACGATTGGGATACTACTTGGACGTCTAGACCGAAGCAGGTGATTGTCTTCTGGAACCACTTCCCAACCTTTGACTTGAAGTTGGATCCATAAGACAGTGGAGCAGCGTTAGGAGCTAAGTTCCAATTGTTTTTTGGTGACCAAAATAGGTCCATACACCACTGAATCCGCTCGTATCCTGGAGCCCATATACATTGTAGATTTGAAAATCAGGGTTTTCCAGCTCCTGAGATAAATTAGCATGTCCACCAATCGGGTTGTGAAGGCATTAAATGAGAGCTACATGGCAGAGGCCATGAAAGTGTCGCATGAGAACATTTCGACAGAAAGACAGTCGTCTACTTCGGCTTTACTGGGTTGTTTATAGGGGCCAGTGTATAGAACCTGCCTTATAAATCCCTGTGAATGCTGATGAAAAATAAGAGCAGCTTGTATACAAAATATATATCGATCTTCCAACCTAACCGAAAAGTGTATTCTGTGGTTTAACTATTGATCATGAGATTATGAGAAACTCGCATGCTGATTTTTTTTTAGAATTTTTCACTGATCTTGAGTATGAACAAATTAAGCGTGTAAAAATTCTTAAGGTCATATAAAAAGTTCATTAGATTATGTCAGCTGTGCACTCTGCACACACATTAGTCTGTATAGGGAGGACGTTACTAAATTTACGCAAGCGAATAAAGTGTTAATGAACAAGCTTAAATTTCTACCTAAATTGACACGAAAGCTTTGTAGGTCACAAGTTCAAGTGTAGAGAATAAAATAATATTCCAGTGAGATCCATAATTTGTGTTTAAAGGTGAAAAAGCAAGTCGCAGATGCAAATTATGACATTAATAGGCGGTACCATAGTGAGGAACTTCGCGTAAAGTTCGGTTAGTGCAAGATTTTACCAGTGAACCACCGATGCACAATAATATTAGAAACATGTATTTCCGAATGAGCGAGTGAAAGTTACCGTAATTACGAACCTTTAAATAAAATAGTCATACGAAAAAAAATTATCAATGGACTTATTATATGCTGCAGCATTGGACCGATTATTGAGAGTCAGTCAGTCAACGTGGTGAAATCTGATTGTTTGGTTATCTGGTTAACGTATAGAAAATGAATACTTAAATTCTAACTTACAGACTATCAAACTAGTATTACTTGTTATCATTTATCAAGGTGTTTCCAATGCTTCTATACTCGTGTCAGTAGCGCATTTATATACTTGGTTCAATAGTTTAAACTGGAGCGAGTATCAATAAGTGTTATATTTTGTTACCGTCTGAGCTTCGGTTTTTCGGATAGGAACTCTGTAGTCAATTTAATCGTCTTCTTCAGCGACGAAGATCCCTTTCTTCTACTATAATATTTAAATTTGCTTTAAAAATGGGCTTTTAATACATCGTCAGATTAGAACTGTATGAATATAAAGATGGAAGTTGTTTTAGCTTTAGTGAAATCGATAAACGATCTGATAAGAATAATTATTTGTCATTTGCTCATTTGGCTACTTATAGTTTATAAGTAGTCAATGTGGTTTCACAGTAAGATAAATGCTTTTATATTGTGGGTAAAATGCACATAACAACTAATGGTTGTTAAAAAGACAAAAGAATTCCAACAGTTGGTGTGAACACGGGCAGTAATTTTGCTCGAAATATTACCAAAAACTTATCATTGTATGTAAACCATTGAAATATAATTATACTTTATTTGAACTAATGGTTGTGTTTACCACCCCTCGTTACAGATGTAAAACGAAGGTATAATGTGAGGAAACGTCAACCATAGTCAAAGGTAGGCATGAACTTATAAAGGAATATTCTTACGAAAAAACAATGGAATGCGCACACTTGTCTCTGTAAATAGAGAAATTCGAATGGTAGTGGCTTTTGTTCATGACCTGAAGACAGATATTGTAGAAGTGATGGTTTTTAATAACCAACTGAGAAGAGGTGATGTAATACATTGATGTAGAGAGAGTCATTTTGAGTGAATAATTATGGGCAAGAAGCTATGTTTACAGGATATCAGCCACTCGGTCAACCTTAATGTCGTTTACGTGTGGCAACCTTTTGGGTACAACAAACAGGACGTACCTCAGAGGCTTTGGCACGATGCTTTCATCTACTACCCAAACTAGATATGCATTTTCGATAACGAAGGTTTCAGCCACTTAAGGAAGTGAAAAAGATGTGCATTCCGGCTCTGAAGTGTTACTTAACTGACCACTGCTTTTTAGTAACGTGAAGGAGCTATCGCATTTGAGCGCTTCCCTGTGCGTATACCAGTTCATCTGCTTCTGTGGAACTAGACATTTAAGTCATTCAGCTTACGTTCCATTCGAAAACATTATCTTCAGCGACTATATAGGTATAGAAATAGACCTATAAGAAGTGTGATGACTGACTTACTTTTTTTACTTTACTTCGGCTATCTCCTACGGGAGGATGAGCCGGCTTCATGAACATCTCGAATCATCGCTGCCCAGGCGCGGCGATCTGATGCAAGGTTTTGCGACAGGGTTATCAAATTCTTGTTCCACAGACGGATTCCGTAGACGGTTTTTAGCCCCAGGCAATCCATATCAGCCTTGACTGTACCAAGCCATGTTTTCAGCTGTCCACCCCTGCGACATCGCCAAGATGGTAATGGCGAGGGATTTAGAACTGATTTGACCAGATCGTCATCTGGTAGGCGCAGAACATGGCCAAACCACCGAAGGCGACGTTGTTGGACCAGTACTGGAATTTGTTTGATGCTGTAGCAACGACAACGCACTTCTTCGTTGGAGGTTTGTAAGAGAGTTCATGAAGTTTCATGGGAATTTGGTACGAGTGATGTCCCCAGAATCGCTCGGCCTTTTGTTTGAGAGTGCAGCTCTAGGCTTTACACAACCAAGTGTGACCTACAAGGCAGTAGGAGTGGAGTAGGGAGTCCACTATCCATTGGCAGCCGGTGACCGGAGTTCGGTTCATACGCCTTTTTGAATGGGGCCAGACATCCAGGACATCCAACAAGTCCTTTGTCCATACGTCTGCCGGTGAGCTCCAGTGGGCTTCATACGCCAGTCGTTGGAGGTTTGGAATCAGGGTTTAGCCATCTCCCCTAGACTATCAACCCGGTGAAGAGCGCCGGGCATCCGCTTTCGCCCTCTCACTTTGGTGAAAAACACCTCCGCCACGTGAAGGCAGTGAGTAGGACTTCCTCAGGAGAGGCTATGTAAGACGCCCGGTCATATGGGAGCATTTCAAGAGGTGTGAAGAGGGGTGGCCAACCCGCAGCGCAAGGCACCCACCCCCGACCATCCTGAGGCTTTGGAGGCAATGACTGAACCTCTTGTCAACCCTAAACTCCAACCTCTCCACGGTTATTTATGCAGTGAAAAATATCCTTTCTAAATTTGTTCCCGCAACTTTTGTATTGCTAAAGTTTTAGCTATCAGAAAAAAATGTTACATACGAAACTTGTTTAGCCTCTCCTTTCATGGTCGTGATGTGGATAGTATATCTATAACAAGAACACCAGCTATGATACAGGTGCATAGGTGAATAAAAATCTTGTTGGTACTCCCTACGTATTAAGGATTATATGCGTAGTTTAATGAACCCCTTCTGAAAGCTATTTTGAAGGTTAATATCATCACTCTTGAAAATCTGATAAAATTACAAAGCTTCTTCAAGTGGCAATCAACCAGCACGCTTCTTTGTGTGTATGGCAATGAGCTAAGGAAATGAATTAAATTCAGAAAGCATAAATACGATCATTCAGTTATAAAAGCAAACAATATACACACTGTTTCTTTGATGATATTAGATAGTTGGAGGCAATCGGCAGAAAGCCTTAGACCTAGGTTTCGTGCTAGTTGGCACTCATCAGCAAGGCGTATCTGCAACCTTGAAGGAATTCATGTCCCTTCTGAGATTCGAACCCGCATCACCCGAATAGCTCAGTGATATTGTCTCTGACTGAAGGTGGCCCTTGGTGACGCAGGTTCGAATCTCAGAAGGGACATGAGTTCCTTCAAGGTTGCAGATACGCCTTGCTGATGAGTGCCAACTAGCACGAAACCTAGGTCTAAGGCTTCCTGTCGATTGCCTCCAACTATCCAATATCATCAAATCAATGTGCACCATGATGGCGAGCTACCTAGAATGGTGGCCACATTGCAAACCTGACTGATAGAATTCAGTCTGCACCAAATAAAGGACTAGACTCGTCACACTAGTTACTAGTGTTTAATCAAAACACTGTTTCTTTCGTCATCGTTGGATTCATGCGTTTAGGAAGATATTCAGATTCACCCGTGTAATTATGATAATTCAAATGACGTTGATTGACTCACGTTTCGGCGCGAAGCTTTTCT